CAAGAGAGGTTTGAAGGGACGGAAACAGATCCAGTATTGTCAGCAGCAGCTGTCTTGACAAACTACCGAGGTTGGCCAGTTACAGACAGACATCGGCTGCTCTTACATGGAAAAAATGAAATTCAGACACTACATGGTCATTTTCAGGTACCTCTAGAGCAGCACAACGTCAGTCTGCATGACTGTCTTGATGAATGGATGAGTCTGAAATTCCATGTACAGCGAGTTAGAGCAGAACTTGAACTCAGGCAAAGCGAATTCTGGAAGAACAAATTTATGTTTTGCAAAGATGATTATCCAAACCTGCTAATTTTAGTGGAACTATGTCTTGTAATTCCTTGCCAGACTGCTTGCTGCGAGCGGGGGAACTCTTGCATGAACAGAATCATGACTGACTGGAGGTCAACCTTGAATGTTTCTACTATTGATGAGTTGATGAGAATAGCTATCAGTGGACCTTCTCATGAGGACTATACTGCAGTTCTTGCAGTTGGGCGCTGGCTGGAGGAGTCAGAACGGAGCAGACGGCCTACATTGATGGACTGATCATTGCCTTCAATGATCATTCCCACCATTTGGGAACACCTAATTAACTGTTTTACAATACTGAACACTACTAGGGTACTAGGCATTTTGAATGAGCAGCTGCTGTTTGCAGCTAGAAGCTTAAGTCACACAAAGAAGTAATGTCTGCAGCAGTACATGTACAGTTGGATTTTATTGTTATCGAGGTAATTGGAATAACGAACAAGCATGAACACGTACAATGAATTTTATGTACAGTTGTATAATAAATTGATTACAGTTTGATAGCAACAGCAGTTTTACATTTTCTTGTGTTTGTTTAATCTATAAAAATGATAGTTTTGTGCTGTACATTTGCCTAGTAGAAATGCATTTTTGGCTAGTGAATCCTGACCATGTACTAGCCATTCGACTATTAACTTCAAAAGTTAAGTTCAAGCCCTGATTCAGCAGTACGAAGACATAACTATACAAAGTCCCAAGAGTTTGAGTAGGCCCACTTGTTTATCTTTTGTCTATTATCCGCAACCCCTAATTTTCAATAAAAAATTGAGCTGGTACTTTTGGTTTTACCGATGGTCATTTTTTCCGAGAGAAATGACCAAAAGCATTTAGTTTATCTTAATGAAATTTAAGTGAGGCTGGGAAGCGCTGCCCTGAGATTTTCAAGAGCAAATTCATGCAGCCTACCATTGGATATGTAGGTTATCACATAGATGGGTAAGGAACACATGCAATTGCAGGGTTCTCAGTTGAACCCGTAACCTGTAACCCGTAACACCTGGCACGGGTGTCACAGGTAAGTGTTACGGCTGTCAAAGTGCTTCAACCAGTAGATCAATTCATCTATCAAATGCAAATAAAAGAACGGCTTTTTGAGTAAATTGCTGGGTAAACTATTGACTGTTAGTTGCTTTCGCAATGTACCTTTCTTCGGTTTTAGTTGTCAAAGTGAATAGCCTTTTTGCAGACCATAGAATGACCGAACAATCGCTTCACATCTCCGCAACGTTGAATATGGCCGCCATATTGAATTTGTAAATTTGAACTCAGGCCTCTTGCAGATGTCGTCTTTCCACGTGCAAAAACATGGCCGCTGCAAAGCGAAAGGCCGACCAGCCGGGATACTGAACTTTTTCGCAAAGTAAGTGTCATAGTATGTTCAAAAGAGATTTAAAAGAGACCAGTTTCATCTATTTACTTTCGAGACCTCGCTTTAATAGTGAAATTATTTGAGGAGGGTATCGTCGGTGTCCTGTCACGCTGTAAACCGGCGTAAAGGTCGTTCCGGTTTACTGGTTTGAAGTAAGCATTGTTAACTCATGTTTGGTGACCTTTCTCAAGAAGCAGCAAGTTACATTTTGCAAGTAAAACATCGTGGATTAGAAAAAATAAACACTGCCTGTAACGACAAATTTAGTTGGTCTGTTCAACAAAATTAACACTGTACACAGGAAGAGTAAATTCTGTAAATTTAATTAGTATTCCAGACTTTGTAGCACTAACTGTTCGCACAATGGCAATTTTATTTTTATACAACAAAAAGTTAATTGAGGATATAGTGAAAGTTCAAAACAAGACAGAAACTAACACTAATATAGTTTAAAAAGTATTTTATTACAGCTTTTTAAAACTATTTGTAAAATAATTTTTACAGGACCTCTGTCGGAAAAGTGACGTCAGCCGTGTAACCTCGCAACGCAAAACCAAGGGTGGTCTTTAGAATTGTGGTTTTGAAAAAAGATATAGGCTAAGATCGACGCGATACGAAGCGTGTGACGACTAGAATAAAGATAGGAAAAGAAAACTACGCGAGTGACTAGTGTTGCTATACTGGGATTTCCAACACTAACTGGCACCTCCGACGGGACTGAGATCGAGACATGGAACTGGAGGCACTTCAGAAGAATTTGGACGCAAAACTCAAGCTTTTGGCGTACAAGCAAGAAAAGGGAAAGGGCATTGTGGACAAGGCAAACGCGACAACTATTGGGAGACACCGTGACGGGTTGGTGTGTTTAGCAAAAGAAGCGGACGAGGTCAAATTAAAGATCGAAGAGAAGAAGATTGCAAAGGGTGAGCAAATGGACGAGGTATGTGCATGGAGCAATGAAATAGACAAAGTTATTGAGGGTGTAGACGCGGAGATCGAATACCTTGGGAAGTGTTTGGGGGAGGTGAAGAAAAAATCGCAAATGGCCGAAAAAGAAAGCGAGAAAGCGACAATCGCGAAGGAGAGAGAGGAGCAACTCGCGTTTGAAAAAGCACAATGGGAAATGAAGCTTGATTACGAAAAAAAATCAGAAGAATTAGGTAGCAAAAAAGGGAAAGGGTTATCAGGCGATACCGGAATGCACGCAAAGTTGCCAAAGCTATCAATAACGAAGTTTGATGGGTCCTTCGAACAATGGCTCTCTTTTTGGAATAAATTTTCCGCGGAAATAGACGCGACGGATCTGTCAGCAGTGACAAAGTTCGCTTATCTAAAGGAACTCCTTGTTACAAAGGTACGAGCGGACATAGATGGACTCCCGTTCAATCTTGAGGGGTACGAAAGGGCGAAGGCCATCCTAAAATCGGAGTACGGGAAAACGTCAGAAATTGTAAATGCATATGTAAACAACATCATGGGTTTGCCTACCATCACAAGCGCCAGTCCAAAAGAAATTAATGAGTTTTACAAAAGGCTTCTGTTCAATGTACAAAGCTTAGAGACGCTCGGGAAGTTACGTGAAGTCTCCGGAAATGTGAGGGCGGTGTTAGACAAACTGAAAGGAATAAAGGGAGACTTAGTCCGGGGACACGAAGATTGGCGAGACTGGGATTTCGCTAAACTGATTCAGGAAATTAAAGGTTGGAGAGACATAAATTCAGAAGGAGAAGAAAGCGATGGTGGGAGTGTGTCCAAGAGGAAGAATGATCGCAACGACTGGAATGCCCGCGTTCCGCCGCCACGCGGAAGGTCTTATCAGGTCCAACAACAAGCAAATGGAGGACAGATGCGCGGATGCGTCTATTGCGATGACACGAACCACACATCCGCTAATTGCACCAAAGTTGTCGCGGTCGGAGACCGCAAACGAATTCTGAGCCAAAAACAGTTGTGTTTTAATTGTACAAGTGACAAACACAGAGCAGACAGCTGTAGAAGCCGCGGGTGTCATAACTGTCAACGCCGACATCACACGTCAATATGTGATCGCCCACCAAGCGGTCACACAACGAGGGGAAGATTTATGACGGCACAAAACAAAGGAACAGAGAGAGTCGTGTATCCCGTTGTTGTCGTGGAAGTAAATGGAATCAAATGCCGCGCACTCCTAGACACTGGGGCAGGCAGCTCATACGCGTCGTCAGCTATCCTTGAACACCTGGGAAACAAACCGCTACGAGAAGAATTCAAGCGCATAGAGATGATGCTTGGGTCAACAAACAAGGTCATCGGAGTTCATAGCGTGACGATTGGCAGCCTTGATGGAAAATTTCGATTGGAAACGGAAGTCACCAGAGTGGACCGTAGTACATTGCTATCACTTGACAACCCAGGATATGCTGGGATACTGGAGAAATATCCCTACTTGGATGGGGTATACATGGACGACAGAGACGAGAAGCCTGAGCTACCAGTCCACATTATCCTGGGTGCGAGCGAGTACGCGAAAATAAAGACAGAAACCATACCAAAGATCGGACGTCCCGGCGAACCTGTTGCAGAGCTAACAAAGTTCGGATGGACAATTATGTCACCAGGTAAAGAAGTTGACCTCTCTAATATGTTCTTGACCCAGACGACAGCGGCAGATTACGAACAACTATGCAAATTAGATGTTCTAGGATTGCGTGACACACCAGGCGGAGATCAAGCAGATGTTTACGAAGAATTCAAGGAACAATTAACACGAGGGCCAGAGGGATGGTACGAGACGGGGCTACCCTGGAGGGGAAACCACCCTCCACTGCCCAACCACAGAGCGGGAAGCTTGAAGCGATTGGAAAGTACCATTCGGAAACTGGAGAAGAACGGAATACTCCAGAAGTATGACGCCATAATTAAAGACCAGCTTAACGAAGGAATAGTGGAGCGAGTGTCAGGCCCACCAGTGGGAAAGGAGTTCTATATTCCACATAAAGCGGTGGTGAGAGAAGCTGCAGAGAGTACCAAACTTCGAATCGTGTACGACGCCTCTGCCCGAGCTTCAGAGAAGGCTCCTTCTCTCAACGAGTGCCTTCACGCGGGACCTCCGTTGCAGAACAAGCTTTGGGCTGTTCTTGTCCGTGCACGTTTCCACCCAGTCGCGTTAACAGGTGATATCAAGCAAGCGTTCTTACAAGTACGAATACGGGAAGAAGACAGGGATGCCATGAGATTCCACTGGATCACGGACTTGCAATCCAGGCGAGTGGAAATACTGAGATTCACGAGAGCTCTGTTTGGTTTGGCCCCATCGCCCTTTCTTCTTGGGGGAGTTATCAAACAACACCTGGAAGCCTGTCGTACCGAGAATCCGGACCTGGTGAGGGAAATAGAGAAGAGTCTATACGTCGATGACCTTATCAGCGGGGGACCCACCGTAAAAGCTGCCCTTGAAGTCAAAGCAGGCGTTACCCATGTCTTTAACCAAGCCTCATTCAAGCTGCACAAGTGGCATTCAAATGTTCCGGCAGTGGAGTCCCCTGGTGATTCTCTTAGCGAAGATACTACATTCGCGAAAGAACAGTTGGGTGCACCTCAAGAAGGAGGGGGATCTATTCTCGGGCTTCCATGGAACAAGCGACAAGATACCATTGAAATAAATTTCCCAACTGACCGCACCCAAGTGACAAAGAGAGGGATACTAGCGAAGATAGCAAGAGTGTATGACCCGTTAGGGCTCGCAGCGCCTATGACATTGAGTGGAAAACTACTGTACCGAGACGCATGTGATTTGAAAGTCGGATGGGATGCTCAACTTCCTGGTCAACTGGGAACCAAGTGGTCAAGATGGGAAGCACAGCTACCAGTGAGCATTTCCGTACCCAGAGCCATACCTCAACACTTTGAAGAGATCAGCAACATTGAGCTACATTGTTTCGGCGACGCAAGAGGACAAGGCGTTTCTGCGGCAGTGTACGGTGTCATATCTCAACCATCCGGTGATAGTGTTGGGCTGATAGCAGCCAAAGCTAGACTGGCGAAGCAAGGCCTCACCATCCCCCGCCTCGAGTTGGTCTCCGGTCACATGGCGACCAATCTCATTGTGAACGTTAAGGAAGCATTAGAGGGTTTCCCAGTTGGAAATATGGTTTGCTGGTTGGACAGCAGCGTTGCGTTACATTGGATCAAGGGAGCAGGGAGTTACAAGCAGTTTGTAAGCAATCGAGTGCAGAAAATCCAGCAACACCCAGAAGTAAACTGGCGTCATGTGGGTACAAAGGACAACCCAGCTGACCTTGGCAGTCGGAGCGGAAGCGGGAAAAAGAAGAGCTATGGTGGAGAGGGCCTGAGTGGCTACTAGACCGAGGCGATGGCCAGCCGATATTAAGACAACGGCCACACCAGACAGTCAGGCGGAAGCAAAAGTGATACGGGACGTATTCGCTGTAGCACAAGCTAAGACAGACATCCTAGACGCCTTGCTGATCAAGTTCAACTTATGGAAAACCCTAAGGGTTTGTGCGTGGGTGACTCGATTCATACATAACCTACGGAGCGAAAAGACGAGAAGATCTAAGGGACCACTCACGACAGAGGAGATCGAGATGCAGCGACACCTGTGGCTAAAGCGAACACAGGTGAAATTCAAGAGAGACGAGCGGTTCGAAGATCATCGTGTTCAGCTGAACCTACAAGAAAACGCAGACGGGTTACTGGAATGCCGAGGGCGGATTCAGGGAGACTATCCCATTTACTTGCCTGAGTCTCATCCGTTCGCGGAGAAGATGGTGGCAGACGCACATATCAGGACACTCCACGGGGGAGTGAGCCTCACAATGGCAAAGATTCGTGAAAGGTACTGGGTTCCCAGGTTGCATCGCCTTGCAAAAAGAGTCGTTAAAGCTTGTAACGGCTGCAAGCGGTTCCGCGCCACAGCGTTTGCGGTCCCGCCACCAGGACAGCTACCAAGGGATCGTACCGAAGGAGAAAATGCGTTCCAAGTAGTCGGAGTGGATTTCGCCGGACCACTGAAGTATAGAAAGGGGAGGAATCATGAAGGCAAAGCTTACATAACGCTTTACGCCTGTAGCCTGACCAGAGGTATTTACCTTGAGCTACTACCCAGCCTAGAAACGGGAGAATTCCTTCGATGCCTGAACGGTTTATCGCCCGACGTGGGCGGCCAGAAAAGATTTACTCAGACAACGGGAGTACCTTCGTGGCAGCAGCTAAGTGGCTGAAACAAGTGATGACTGACGAACGCCTCAACGAATTCCTCTCCCGTCAAGAAATCAAGTGGCAATTCAACCTGAGCAGAGCACCCTGGTGGGGAGGGCAGTTCGAGAGAATGGTTGGATTGGTGAAGAGAAGTCTACAGAAGACCATTGGAAACGGGTTCCTAACGTGGACCGAGTTAGAGGAGGTTATACTAGACGTAGAGGTTGCAGTCAACAACCGACCTTTAAGTTACGTGGAGGACGATGTGCAGCTACCGATCTTGACCCCCCACTCCTTGTTGTTTGGTCAACCAAATGCACTACTCGAGTTGGAACCGCACTGCATAGAAGACGGTGAATTACGCAAGTGAGCAAAGTATCTCAGACGATGCAAGGAGGCCGTCTGGAAGCGATGGACGGGGGAGTACTTAAAGGGGCTGCGCGAACGCCATCGTCTAAAGAATCCTGGAAAGCCCGAAAATCCTATTGTGGGCGAGGTCGTGCTGATCAAGTCGGACGACAAGAATCGCGGGAAATGGAAGGTCGGGATCGTCATGGAACTAATCAAAGGGCGTGACGGTGTTGTCCGGGGAGCAAAGTTGCGCACAGGGACCTCACATCTAGAGCGAGCAGTACAGCAGCTGTATCCGTTAGAACTGTCATGTGATCGACCGGGAGACGGCGACAGACCTCCAACGACGGAGTTGCGCATTGAAGCGCCAGCGTTCAGGCCTTCCCGTGATGCAGCCGTCGCAGCAAGATTACGTATGGAGGATCTTGCTCACGATGAGGAAGGGGGTTGAACTTTGAACCAAACCGAAACAGATTGGATGACAACAGCGGATCGGATGCTTGAACATTCTACTTATGAACTGAACATCTGCCACTATGGCTACTGATTGATCAATGATTAGTGTGATTAGGAAATCGATTGAAAATTCTAGATGATAGATTCGTTCATAAAATCTAAGCGATAAGGTTCATTTCTCGACAGACATTTGCTCTCCGAGACAAATGGGGGGAGGGTGTCGGAAAAGTGACGTCAGCCGTGTAACCTCGCAACGCAAAACCAAGGGTGGTCTTTAGAATTGTGGTTTTGAAAAAAGATATAGGCTAAGATCGACGGGATACGAAGCGTGTGACGACTAGAATAAAGATAGGAAAAGAAAACTACGCGAGTGACTAGTGTTGCTATACTGGGATTTCCAACACCTCTAGGCAAACTGAGGCATTAGCTGTTGGCACAAATGATGTTTCTAAAAATATAGAGGTCAATGACAAATCATCAGCTTCAAACCCCTTGTCAAAACGTCCCCCAAGCAACAACTGTCCATCGGAAATCCCTCAAGAAGAAATCCTATCATCACTGTCCAGGTTGGATAAGCAGAGGGAACAAATACACACGTATTATACATGCAAAGAGAAGGACTGCCATTCTCTTTCAGATCCTTCAGGTGGTGCATTTAAGTTTAACAAAGCTTCTACGGCCTCGGGAAGTCGAATTCACAAATTTCAGCATGGATGGTTGTTCCAAAGATCTGAAAACCATGATGTCTATGAGCCTTCTACTGGAGTTTGGTGGCTGGCCTTCCAAGAAAATGTTGGGATGTTTTGTTTGCTGTGCAGACTCCATGATACATGTACGAAAAGAAACAAGGACTACACGTGGAACACCAAACCATGTGTTAGAATGATAACTCAAGCCATTCAGCTGCACTTCAATAGTGACATGCACCATTCTGCAATTGAAAAGGAGCATCTCAAGCAAATTTCCCCTTTCCAGAAAGAGCATGAATCAAGGAAGCAATGTGAAAATGAAGTATTGAACAAAGTCTTTATGTCCATCTACTGGTTGGCAAAAGAAGAGATTTCTAACACAAAACTTTTGTCCCTTTTAAACTTGATGGAACGGGCAGGTTTACAAAACCTCAAACATTTTACATATACTGGGGAAGGTACACAGCAAGAAATGTTTCTCATTCTAGGGCAAGTTGTGAAGGACAGAGTAACTGAAAGAGTGAATAAGTCCAAATTTTTTGGCTGTCTTGTTGATGAAGTGACAGACGTTTCTGTTCTTCAACAGTTTGTCACTTTTGTTAAGTACGTCCATGAGGGGAAAAGCAGGACTGAGTTTTTGCACACAGAACATGTCTGAAGCTACAGGTAAAGCACTTGCAGAATCCCTTGAAGGTATCCTGGAAAAATGTTCTCTTGACATTTCGAAGATGAAGTCTTGTGTTTCTGATAGGGCCAATGCAATGCTTGGGGCACATAATGGAATGGTCGCACACATCCGTAAGAAAGTCCCTGACCTTGTTAACATTCACTGTGTGTGTCACCGGTTGGCATTGGCGTGTGTTGACACGTGCAAAGAACTGACATACTTGCTGACCATGGAAAGATTGCTGAATCAAGTGTGGAAATTTTATGACTACTCTCCTAAGAAAACGGCCAAGTTAGTGATGGTACAAATGGAACTTCTTAAGCTCCTTCCTACTGAGCAAGAAGTGAAGAAGAGAGTAAAGAAAGCCAAGAAAGCAGCAGCAACCAGATGGCTTTCACACAAGGCTTCAATGGAATCTATGAAGCAAGAGTTTGTGGCGCATATTACTGTGTTTGATTTCTTTAAAGAATCAGATGCAACAGCATGAGGTTTGTTAACCCAGACTCGGAATCACAAGTTTATTGGTGCAATTTACATCATGGATGCTGTTTTGCCTCCCCTGGCGATCCTCAGCAAAGCTTTTCAATTTGGGGAACTTAGTTTTGATGCAATTCCTTCAGCAATTTCTGCCTGTATAGCAAAGTTGGATAAAGTTGTGAGTGAGAAAGATGAAATCCTTGCCCAGTTAAGCCAGGATATGGAGGAGAATGGCAAGTTTGGAATGATCGAGCTATCACCTAATGATGCAACTACGCAGTTCCTGAGTCGTCTCTGCGTTTCCTATGTAGAGAACCTAAAGAAGAACATCTCTAGTTGTTTCCCCAACATCCCACTCATAGCTTCTTTCTCGATCTTTAATCCAGAGGCCATCACTGAAAGGAATTCACCAGAGTTCAAAAGATATGATGAGGAAAAGCTGGCCAAACTAGCAGACCACTTCAGCTCTACATTGGATACTGAAAGGTTAAAATCAGAATGGGATCACTTCAAGTTCATGGCTCTAGAGATAAAGCAGGAGTATTCAACTGTCAGCACAATGCTCAAAACCACGCCAACTGAATGGCTTCTTTCAAAGCTGACAAGTTCAAAGTCCTACAGCTTCATGTTTCCAAACCTTGTCTCGCTAGCAGAATTGGCACAGAGCATACCTGTCACCAATGCCTGGCCCAAGAGAGGAGGCAGTGCAATTAAATGTATTAAAACAAGGCTAAGAAACAGCTCGCAGACAAGATGCTCGACAGCTTGCTACACTTATCAATCAATGCACCACCTCCTGGCTCAGATGAAGCTTCTGCCATCATACAGGAAGCTTCAACAAGGTTTGTAGCAGCGAAAGAGAGAAGGTAGCTACCTGGCAGACAAGACGTGCAAGAAAGTGAAACAGAAGCTGGTGCTTCAAGTGTAGATCAGAATCGATCTAGTAGAACTGAACTAGAAGTAAGGGTACAGCAACTTGAAGATCAACTGGAGGTCGAAATGATTCATACTGATCACAGCACGCTACTGTTGAAGAATATGCTTCTGCAGTTCTGTCATACTGGATGCGAGAGTGAGCAAGAGGATGGGACAGATGAGAGTGACGATGACAGTTAAAACAGTAAACAAATCACATTAAATAGTAACAAAGAAAGTGAAGAACACAGTAAATCACTGCCGTTGTGGAGAAGAGTTAGATCAAAGTTGTTGTTCAGATTCATTCATTAACAAATATTTGCGCTATCTTATACTCTTTCTCATTTAGATATATAGCAGTTACTGGGTCAGTGTGGCCTTGAGAATTAGTTTTTGTAAGTGCGTGCCCCCATTTGGAGAGGACTGGTTACCTAATAATTATTTTTGTATAAAATGAATGCCATTAACTCAGAAAGCAAAGCATTGTTATTGCAGGTTAATATTTCATTGAATATTGCAGTGTAGTTTTCAGTTTGATAAGAGATAATTTCAACTTTCCGTAGTTTGAAGCCACTGAACAGATTACAAAATGTACTTAGACTTGTTTGGAGAAAATGGGAAAATATGCCCCCAAAATGAAGGAAAAAGCATTTCTGAGCATCTTAAATAAAAAATTTCCCAGGGGAGCATGCCCCCATACCCCCCTAGCAGCTTGGGCCCTATGGGCCCAAGTTACACGCCCAAAGGGCGAGTATATAAGGGTTACGCCTGTAACTACCAAAGCAACGGCTGTACAAAATTCTATGAGAACCCTGCAATTGAGACAAAAGGTTAAAGCCATTAGGAAATGGCCTGCACCCAAAAATCAGCATCAGATGAAGTTGTTCCTCACAATGATAAATTATTCTTCAAACTTTATAAGTAATTATTTGACTATCACCTATCCATTACATGAATTACATAAAGATGGAGTCAAATAGAAATGGTCTATAAATCAGCAAAGGTCATTCGATCATTTCAAGGACAAATTGTCCATCGCAACTGTTTTTAAAGCACTTCAAGGAGAAATTACCATTAAAACTTGACACAAAGGCCTCACAGTATGGCCTAGATGCAGTCATCTTCAACATACTACCCTCCCCAAGAGAAGACTGTCTGATTGCCCACGCTGTGCATATATTTACAGGCAGATCAAAAAGGAAGTGCTCACCATAATATTCAGAGTAAAGAGCTTTCACCCACATCTGCACGGAAGGAAATTTCTTTCAGTCACCAATTGCACACTGTTGACCAAAGAGCTAGGACCAAAGAGCAATATCCCAACTTTAGCAGCCACAAAATTACAAAGATGGGCATTACTGCTTGCTAATACAATGAGATCTTAAATTGTTTAATGACAAAATTTGAGGAATTTGAGTCACAATTCTCAGCCAACTTCTCAAATATATGTCATATGAATTACACACTGGGCATCCAGTCCATAATGAATTAACTCACGTAACTCTAAGTTTGGTGGCCTAATCTCAAAAGAGAGATAGCCTAAATTGTACAGAAAAGTGACATTTGTCAGAAGTCACATTACACCCTAACATCTGTTGGATTGAACGAAACTGCTGTGGCAGAGATTGCACATCGATTTTGCAGCTCCCTTTATAGATAAAATGTTTCTGACTGTCATCAATAGTCACTCAAAATAGTTCGAAGTAGAGACAATGTCCAGCATTGCTGGTGAAGCTACAATAAAAAAGCTTCCCTTTATTTTCCTTGATATGGCATTCCAGAGCAACTCATGAGACAACAGTACACAGTTCACTTCTGAAGAATTCTGTAGATTTACAAAAGCAAAAGGCATCAAGCACACATTTGTTGCTTTGTATTATCCTCAATCTAATGGCCATGCAGGGCCACTTTTCAAATGTTTAAGCAATGTTTTTTGGGGGAGGGGAGAAATTTGATTAAGCAAAGTTAACCACAATTTCTGTTCAGTTATCAGCACTACAGGCAAAACACCAACCAATTTATTCTTAAACCATCAATTAAGAACAAGGCTAGATTTAATGCATCCTGAACTCTATTAGAAAGTCTTTCATAGGAAAAGGGAGGAAGGAAGATAATTCACCCCTGGTAAAGAATGGCACCATTATGGAGCAGACTCATTCTGTCTTCTATAAAGTTTTAATCAGAGATCAACTTTGAAAACACTATGTTCACTAGATTCATCAGAAGTGTGAAGGCAACCAATATAGCTCACAGAAATTAGTAAAACACCTTCAAACAATAAAATTAATCATGATATTGTTGACATTCAACCAGTAACACTTCCACACACAGAATAAATGGAAAATGCTACACCAAAACAAAATGTAAATAAAGGTACCAAAATAACAGCCATGAAACCATGCACACAGACAACCTTAACTATACCATCCAACTGTTTAGCACAAAGTACTGTAGCACCTGGGATTTGATTGATGATAATTTGAGAAATTAATTAGCAAACCTTTAATAAGTTAAGGGGGAAGGAATTGTTTGTTCCTATATTTGGATAAATACCTTAGCTATTAGATACCTTGTGTTCATTTATTAGCATACCCTGAACTGTAGTCACAGGATTATCCTTATCACTGTATATAATTAAGGGGGGATTCTACCTGAAATTAGCTCAAAATATTGTTTTTTTGTTTTCTTCAGAAATGCGAGGTTCAACTATTCGACTTTACACTGACGATCGTTTTTACCGAAAAATTTTAAAATATAAATGAGAAATTACGTTAGAAAAGAAGAGGTATCTAAATAGAAATCTCGTTTCCATGGCAACCAAAACAGCATTTTTTGTTTCTTACTTGTTTACCAGCCTGTTTGGAGCTCAAAATATGTCAAACAAGCCCGAAACGCCCCTTAGAATCCTTGTGCTGTCTTACATGAAGGGGAAAATAAGAAATTGAAAGAGTAACACTGGAGACGAGTGAGAGATTTTTTGTGTGAAAGTTGTCACAGTGTATTGCGAAATATTGAACTCCTTTTGTCTCTTTTTGTGCTGGAATGACTGGAAAGAAGAAAAGAACCGTTTACAGGAAAACTAGGAAAAGAAAGGGGCATGGAGGAGATCGTAAAAAGCGCAATTACTGAAGAAAAGCGGTTGCAACAGGAAGAGTGAACCAAACGAACCGACCCCAGGAACTTCGCACGATCAGTCTGATCTGTCAGATTTTGGCGAAGAAAGCGATCAGCTTCCTAGTTCTTCAAGGAAGAAGATGAGATTCCAGAGCTCAGAAGATGAGTCTTCTTCAAGTTCTGATGAAAACAAAAAGTTTTCGAGGTAGCTGAGGTAGAAAAAGGATACAGGCTCGTTGATCTAAAGAGCTTCTCTTCTGTGCTCTCAACTTTACACAAATGCGAAGAAGGTGAGAAAAATATCACACATCATAAATATGCTTTTCAGCCCCTTGAACCTAAAGAAAAACGATAGTTAGAATTATTTGCAGAAAAGGAGTTTTATTATTGTTTAATCATTTTTTCTGATCTTTCTTCACTGCAACACTTGTACACATTTATGGAGGTGTGAACTAATGCTCCAACATTGTGGTTCTGTTTGGTTCAGTAACTATAGCTAATAGCATCCTTTTCCGTCATGTTTTTTAATATAGGAGACCTTACTATTGAAGAAAATACCGCTAGCCGTTATGGACTGATGTCAGATCTCTCCATTCACTGCAATTCTTGTGATGAAAGTACTCCTTGGCAGACATCACCCAACCTTGCCAAGAAAGGCAAATCATTTGATGTCAACCGGAGAGCTGTCTACCACTCAATAGAAACTGGAAGTGGCTACGACGGACTCTCTTCTTTCTGTGCGATAATGAACATGCCTTGTTTGTCAAGAGCTGCTTACTACAAGCAAGTTGATGTAATTTTGGAAGCACTGGAAAGTGAAGCAAAAGAAGAACTAAAAGGTGCAGGCCAAAGGCTCCGAAAGCTAATCATGGAGGAAAATGGCATCTCAGACAGCACCACAATAATTGATGCTGCTGTTAGCTTTGATGGCACTTGGGCCAAAAGAGGTTTCACATCACTAACAGGTGTTGTTTTCGTCATCTCAATTGACACAGGAGAAGTTTTAGACTATCACGTGATGTCTAAATCTTGCCGTAAGTGCTCCCTAAAGAACTCACAATGTGAAGGGAATGTGGAAGAGTTTGAAGAATGGAGGAGGGAGCATGTTGCATCTGGAGATTGTGACATCAACTTCGAAGGAAGTTCACCTGCTATGGAAGCAGAAGGAGCTTCTGTTCTTTGGAATAGATCCATCGAACTTCATAACATGAGGTACAAATGGATGGTGTCAGACGGGGGACAGTAAGGCCTTTAACACTGTTCAACATGCCTATGATGACTGTGAAGTTATTAAACTGGATTGTGTAGGCCATGTGCAGAAAAGGATGGGCAAACATTTAATGAATTTGAAGGCATGCAGTAAGGGTAAACTTGCTGATGGAAAACCTATAGGAGGGCGTGGCCGGCTTACAGAAGGAAAGATCAAGCAGCTTCAAAGGTACTATGGCCTAGCAATCCGGCAAAACACCTTGACCAAGGCAAATCCCTCTGAACGGGAGGTTGACATTGCAGTTTATGCTATGAAACAAAATATTATTGCCATTCTCCATCACTGTGTAAATTCAACTGACAATGCTAAACAACACCGCTTCTGTCCACCAGGTGATTCATCATGGTGCAAATGGCAACAGGACCAGGCAACAGGAACCAGTACCTACAAAGGAGATGACTGTTTGCCCGAAGTCTTCGTGGAGACTCTAAAACCCACATTTGTGTCATTAAGTGACAGTAAACTTTTAGAAAGATGTGTACGAGGAAAAACCCAGAACCCAAATGAAAGCATCAACGCAATGGTTTGGGTCCGTGTCCCAAACATAAACACCATGGAGTGAAAGTTGTCCGGTGTGCTGCTGCGTCTGCAGTCTGCCACTTCCACAGAGGTGCAGAAAGCAGAGAAAGATTGATGGAAAGGCTTTCAATTCCTGGAGGTGCATTTACTGAGGATGCATTTCGACTAAGAGATAATTCAAGGCTTGGAAAGCTGATAAGCAGGCAACGGCCAAGGAGAAGAAGCGCCGGCAGGGATTGCAGCTTATCCGTTACTCAAAGAGAAGCGGCTCTTCGTGAAAAAAAAGATGTTTCATATGAAGCTGGGGCATTCTAACTCTTGCTCTTGCCTATCCTAATTATATTTGAACTTATGGCTACTCATTGACTTCATAATTTGAATACAGGAGGTGTTTAATTTTAAAATCTTGTAACTTTAGGCCTTTTTTTCTCAAAACGTATTTTTTAATACTTGAGAAAAGATTACTCAAGAAGTATGAGAGCTATGGACCTGAAATTTTTAGGGATTGCTGATCTAATTGAGTTATTTGGGATGAGTGAAGGAAAATGCCATAGAGGTCTTTCTAAAGAAATGATTAAACAAATAGTGATCATGTGTTAGATGTGTAACTTGACACCAGTGCTGTGATGTCAAATTTAAAAATTCTTGAAATCCTTCACTCATCCCAACAAGTATTCAATATTCTTTAGAATAACAGCAAAATATTGGTATTTCATTGAAACAGTTTCTAACAATCTTTACTCAAGTACATATAGGTGAGACACTACAAGTTGTTAATTGAAATGACCGGTGTCAGGTTACATTTGCTGCAGGTGTGACATAACACCTTTTTTTGAAAAATATAGTTCATAAGCTTTCCAGTGATATATAGTTTTAGATAGTTGTGACCAAAACTTAAATTCCTACAATTATTTGAAAAAATGCACTTTTTTTAGGTAGAATCCCCCCTTAAGCTAATAGCATCCCAATAGCAGCTGTGTAAAGCACTTGGTTGGGGTAACTCTTTACTCTATCAGGGTTGTCAATAGAAGCCCATAGTCGGTAGCTGGCTGTCAGCCCTCATTGCATTGCCTACTGCTGAAGAATTTAAAATAACTTTTATTCAAACTCTTGTTTGTGTTTTTGGGATAAAAATATGTTAACTCTTCTACATATAAATCTTGAGCCATTTAATTCATAAAAATTTCAAAAGTATGTATGCTCTCAGTGCTCAAAACTGACGGTAGTTCACTCATCAAAAATGAGTAAAATGTACCACGAAACAATTGAGAATTACAATTACTCTTACTTTTGGACGAGTATGCAGTTTCTTGTTTTCATCTGGTTTGTATTTTACAAATTTTAAGTCAATAAAAACAACCATTAAATGTGTGCTTTGTCTTTATTCACGAATGTGCAAAGACCCATGCCGTGACACCATTGTGAAAATGGAGAGGAACTGGTTCAAGCAAACACTTTCTAGCATACGCAGTAGATAGCAGCAATGCATGGCGGGAAATTGCTTGGCATCATGGCTGCTCACCGCTGTTTTTCTTTGCTTGGCTATTTCAAAGGAGCAGAGCAAAATACAAAGCAAAGTACAAGCAAAGATAAAGAAGCTTCAACAACAACAGGCTGTAAAGATTCTGAGCCAAAAGCCAAAAAGGAAAGGGCTTTTAAAGAAGCATGGAGAAAGGAATTTGCGTGGTTGATGTATGACGACAAATTGGGGAAAATTGCCTACATTTTCCAAATGGCAAAAACAAGCAGTCTTCGTTTTGTAGCGGGAGTCAAAATTTTCAGCTGGATGGCCTAAGATCTCATGAAAGATCTGCTGGGCATGTATTGAGTGTGGATGCTAAAGCTGCTAAAAACAAAGGTACAAGAAAAGGGACAATCAATGCTGCATTGCCAAGACTAGAGAAAGATACTGTTGCAAAGATGGAAAAGCTGTTCAATACAGCTTACTACGTATGTTATCTCAAGATGCCTTTTTCCAGTTTTCCTCATTTATGTTCCCTTCAAACTGAAAATGGATTTATGTTAGGACAAACATGTAGAAATGATTATGGATGTAAAGAATTTTGCAAGCATATATCCCAGGTCATGAAAGATGAACAAGCAGCTATTATTAAGAATGCACAATTTCTGTCTGTATTGGCGGATGGAAGCACAGATTTGAGTGTGATTGAGGAGGAAATTGTTTATGTAAGATGTGTTTTGCCATCAGCAGAAACCATAACATTTTATGTAGGACTGGAAGAGGTTCCTAGTGCAAAAGCACCTGGAATTCTTCATGCCATTGAAACAGTGATGGATGAGAAAGATGAGCACTGAAAAGAAAAGCTGATTTCTACTGGTACAGAAGGTGCTTCAGTCATGATAGGTAGACTGGGTGGTGTTGTGGCAATGTTGCAAGCCCAAGTTTCACATGTAATTGGAATCCACTTTGTCGCCCATAAATTGGAACTAGCTTTTGCTGATACTGTCAAGTCATGTGAGGTCATGAAACAAGTGAAAGAAGTACTTACTGGCTGTTGGAAACACTACAGGTACTCTGCTAAGGTAGTAAGAGAACTGAAGGAGCTTGCAGATGCTATGGAGGTCAATGTGGATAAACCTACAAAAGCTGCAGGGACCAGATGGGTACCACACTTTTTATGAGCAATTGAAGTGTTAGTTGGGAAAAACTACAAGGTGATAGTTGCACACTTTGCTCGTACAGCACAAGCAAATGATTCATCTGCTGAGATACAAGGAAGAGCAAAAAATGTCCACAAAAAACTGACTAGCTACAGGTTTTTACAGTACTTGCATTTGTTGTGGGATATTGCCTTTGAAATATCTAAAGTCTCCCTTGTCTTCCAGAGAAATGAAGTTGCAGTATCAGATGTGAAACATGAACTAGACAGGGTTGACCTTGCCCTGCAGAACATGGCCTGACATGGACGCAGGCATTTGCAGTCATTCCAAGAAAAAGTTGGTGATGGAGTAGTATTTCAAGTTGTGAATCTCAAGAGGGCAGAGAACGATACAAATGCATTTGCTAGAAACAGGGAAGATTTGCAAAACAGCAAAGGTTTGAGAGTTTCTGCTCTCCTGTTCTGAAAGCAGCAGCTGTGATTACAGATCACAATTCATGGCCAAGAACAAGAGAACAGCTAGGACTGTATGGTGAGGAGGATGTTGTGGTCCTGGCCAATCACTACAGAAATGTTCTGAATAGAAGTGACTTTGATATCAATGAGGCAAAAGATGAATGGCTATCCTTGAAACTACATGCCTTGAATACCAGAGCCATGGAAACCCTGACAAAGCAAGTTTTCTGGAACCAAATATACACATTAAACTATGCACAGTTTTCACATGTGCTTATGCTCATGGAGATAAGCTTTACCATGGCTGTTTCATCCTCTTATTGTGAAAGGGGTTTTTCTTGTATGTCAAGACTTCAGACTGAATACAGAAATTCCCTTGACATGTCCACAGTCAACCACTTAATGAACATTTGTCTGAATGGTCCCAGCCCAGAAGAATTTGTTGCTGAGAAAGCCATTATTCACTGGGTGCAAGAATCACAGAAGGCTTGCCGACCTGACTTCTTGGATTAAAGTTTAAGGGACAATGACAGATGAAAACACCTCACAATGTTCATTTTCTAGTTATCCTTTATTTAAAAACTATTTATATTACTGTAGATAGATATTATGGTACTGACAATTTCAGGTCCATCATTTTCTTTGGGAGATAGATGTAACTGTATTCTTCTGAGTGAATGAATCAAAACAATATATAGGACCAGTTAGATTCCTTCCAGGACTACTGAAAATTTCCCACTACTTGTCCAGGAAAACCATTTCAAAAAGTTAGTTTCGAGCACTGGCTCTCATGAGGCCTTCACGTGACATTGCAATCCTATGTGGGAATATTTGACGATGGACAGAGGTCAAAGGCAAAAGCGATCAGGGTCACAACATGATTTTTTTGCTGAAAATGAAAATTTTGCCTGCAAACTACTGCAACACAACACTAACATATTAAAACTTCTCCAGCAAATGTGAAATGCGTGTGAATTAACTAATATGAGAGTTGGTTTTCTGAATGATAGACAACTACTTACTCAACATAATATGATTCGTATATAATGAACATCATTTGAAACAGTTTTGACTTTTCCAAATTCACATCATTTCAGATAACAATGCTGTTGAGCAGGCAAACCCCTCAAATTCATTTGAAAGTTGTAGAAAAAGTGAGTCTGAGAAGAGAAAAGTTACAACTGAGAGTGCTACAGCTGTTCAACCAAATACAAACTTGAAGACATCAGCCTTAGAATGTACTCCTGAAAACGTGACCACAATGAAGCAAGAAATTCAGATTCTCTTTGATTTTCAAGACGGACCTGTAGTTCATAACTTTTACAAGTGCACTTCAGATCATCTATGTTAGCACTTCACATCTCAGGAGCAGTCCTGTCTAAACCCTTGTCGTGATAGATTTGTTCACTGTTGGTTGTTTGACAAAACCCTCGACTTTTGTCATAAAACAGAAATTTCTTTGCTTGTTTATTAGGAAGGAAAGGGGATGTTTTACTACCTATGCAGAAAACACAATACAGAACAAGTCCAAGGTTTACAATGCAACTTGTACACTTGAAGAAGTCAGCCGTTCTGGAACATTAAGTGACCCTGCAGCATAAGGATGCTGCTGAAGCTGAAATGTTAGGAAGGGTTGCAGTGTTTCATGACGAGGTGCAAGAAAGGAAAATAGTAAAGGATGACGTCATGTTTAAGGCTTACTATGGGGCATACTGGCTTGTCAAAAAGGAAATTTCCAATCGTAAATTTCAATCTCTACTGGATTTTCTTAAATTCCTTGGCCTCAATGAAATGGAGCATTTCCAGTATTTTTCTGCAGGTTTTATGAGAGAAATCTTTTTGGCACTGGGCTCTGCATTACTTGATAAGTTGTTGGAAAGGGTGAAGAAAGCATACTGTTATAGCTTACTTACTAAAGAAGTTACTGATGTTTCTGTCCTGGAAATGTTTGTTACCTTCATCCAGTACTTTGACAAAAGATACAGGGAAAGTTGAGACAAGTTTCTTTTTTATTGAAGATGTTCTGAAGAACTCTAATTCAGCCAATGCAGAAACTATCTTTACAGTCCTCACAGCTCAGCTAATGGAGTTTGGGCTAGAGTTATAGAAGTGTAGCTCACTGATCCCAGATGGTGCGGCTGTGATGACCAATGCTCATAGAGGAGTAGCAGCCCATCTGAAGGAAGTGAATCCTCGACTGATTTCTATGCACTGCTTGTGCCATAAGATTGCACTGGCCTGCACAGACACCAGCAACCAAACTGAATACATACAAAATGTTGAGCTTTGGCTGAGGCAGCTTTGGAAATTGTTTGACAACTCCACAAAGCATACTGCAATGTACTTGAAAGTACAGATAAATTTGAAATCCTTAGTTTCTCTGACAAGAGTAGGAAGGTCCTAACAAAAAAGATCAAGAAAGCCTGCCAAACTAGATGGCTGTCTTTCGATGCAGCTACAAGTGCATTTTATGAAGATTATATTACAGTGCTGCAGACTTTGCAGCAACTGAAAGGCACTGATGCAGTAACCTCTGGCCTCCTAAGGAAGATAGATTCTTGCAAGTTTATTGAAACAACTTACATTCTTAAAGAAATCTTTTCCATTCTTTCCAACTTGAGTAAAACCTTTCAGCGTAGACAAGTAAACTTCTCACACATCCAGCCATCCATTTTTTTTTACATTCGACATGGATGCTTAGAAGCAAGAAATCCCTGAAGTGAAAGAGAGCCACCTTGAAACAGCAACTGAGTGGTGCCTCAAGCGATTGATCTCACTCAAGACATCTTACAGTATTATGTTTCCTGTTCTGACAAACATCGCTGAAGTCTGCTTGTCAATGCCTGTATCTAATGCATGGCCGGAATGAGGTTGTAGTGCTCTGAAACACATCAAGACACAGCTGAGGAACAGGCTGAATGTGGATATGCTTCAGTCTCTCCTAATGATAACCATCAATGGTCTGAAGGCTGGAACCTCTGAATGTGAATCCCTTGTCACAGCTGCAGTGGAGAAGTGGTAAGCGCAGAAGAAGAGGCGAAAAATGCCCAAAGCCAGGGTGTGATCAACCCCTGTTGCAACTTCTTCTACCACAAAAATGGCACAGAATGATACAGTGATTGAGACAGCTAATGCTGGTGTGCAAACACACCTGTCCTAGGCCAGTGATAAGGTCAATGCCAGAGAATTAGAGGTCCACATTGCTAGTGCAGCCCTGAACCTAACTGATGATAATGCTTTGAGCCAAGGAAAAGCAGACTTTGATTGTGATAGTGATAGTGGCTTTGACGATGTGGACGATACTTTACTTTTACAACTGACTCTGGGTTAATGGTTTAATTAGATTGATCTTGTTCGTAACGTATGTTCTTTCAAAGGTCTCTATGTCCTGAGTTCTCAATTATTTGAAACAAATCCCACATCATCATCAATCATGAAAATGAACTAAAGAAATTTTATTTAATGTAACATCCCTAACAATCAAGGTGTTTATATGAGTGAGCAAATTAATCTGATGATAAACTTTTAAAACATGTGTTTTGTTGCAATATAACTCAATGTGAATATTAAAAATTTACTTTTAAAACATACCCCAGATTGCAGGAAATGGCATCTAACCAAGTGTTCATTTTCAAATTTTTCCAGGAGGAGCATACTCCCAGACCCTCCTAGTTTAAGGGGTGCTTCATGCCCCAAAACACATGCTACACATGTGAAACAATGACTATGTATTAAACAAGTCCTCAAAGTCTACTTAACCTGGATATGACCTACTTTAGAATATGGTGCTCAGATGTAGCACAACATTCCTGCCTTCCTCTCTGTTTAGCTGCAATCAGTTCAGAAAAGAGCCCTGGCTATAATATATCCATCCCTTAGCTGTGCAGACGCTCTTAGTTTGGTCCAAACTACATGCCTCTCAATGGGGAAGAGTCAGTTATGCATGAAATACATACAAAAGTTGCACAATATTAGTCACCTAAATCACTTTTTATTACCTAGTAGCAGAGGTCACAATCATGACTGCAATCTCAGGGAAAAGACAACCAGTAATAGCAAAGCACATAGCAACTGGAACATATGGCACACAAAGCATTCTGGTTACCCATGTAGTGGGTAAATGCTAAAAGTAGTGTTATATACATATGGCATTGTTAAACAGAGTAAAAATATTTCAGCTTGTATTTCATCCCTGTAATTCTTGGTTTTTCTTTTAACTGTAATGGTGATTAATAAACATTTTTCATTTTATCATTCATTTTATTTATTGTGTTATCAATTGCATATAGTAATTAATACAACAGAATAGTAATTTAAGATTAATCATTGTAAATCATTGTCTTTGAAAAGCCTCCTTTGGGGAAAGTCAATAAAGTATGTTGTATACTCCATCTCCCCTGCCTATTCCTATTTGTCCCCTTCAAAACCATTTTAGAAAAATTGTCCTCATAGGTCTGAGAGCTAGCTCAAAGCTGCAGTGTCAATTAAAAATTGCCAAAACATTACATTACATTGTTTGCATTTTCATAAAAGGTTGCAATATCTACACATATTTCCTCCAGATATTTCAGAGAGCCCACTCCTGCTAATGAGGTTTTCATACCAAAAGACACTGAAAAAAACTGTTGGCAACCAAAGTGAGCACAATTTCCACCCTGTGATAGTGTCACAAGTAAAGATCTGAAAAAAGAAAAACCTCTGGAACAACACCAATATCAACACTAATAGTAATTTTAAAAAAAGGAACACAGTATACTAAGCAAAATGAAAAGACATTGAAAGTATATAAATGCTTCAAAATGAAAGAATAATAAACTCTAAAAAGAAAGTGGATTTATCCACTCATGTGGATCCAAGTCATCAGCAATTAGAAAGACAGCAATTTCAGGTTGCAGCCAGGATCATAAAGGTTGAACGAGTCCTACTGATGATGTAGAGGATAAGCATATCAACCACAATGATGGATCTGTGATCAATAGCTGGTGACCTTTAAGGTGTTACAACAAGGACACACACTACCCTAGACGCAATGCAGGATGGATCCCTAAGAGTACCTTCTAAACAGTCCCCCTGTAATCACAAGACAGAAGGCTTTTATCAGTGCATACTTACAAAGAATGCCACAGATATGTTGGGCAAAGTCTATAACCAAGAACCGCTTGCTAAATAAGTCAGGCTCCACTACAATAGTTTCTCTATTAATCATAACCATTACAAGTTCCTCAAATGTGATTGGTGCATCAGCTGCTTTATATTTCACTAATCATACTGTACAGTTGTAATCGGACAGTGTAATCAGACAGTTGGCAATAATCGGACAGCTGAAGCAGCCAATCATACTGAGTCCACTCTGCTTAATCCACCGATCACCAAATTGATCACAATAACCATAGCAACAACCACTTACCCTGAAAAGAAAACTGAGAAATTTCCAAATTTTTTGCTTTGGACATGGTCCATACTGAAGACATTTGTCCTAAATGTTTTTTTTTCCTTCGGAAATTGCAACGGTTATGATTAATTGTATCAGGATTTTGTGTCGTCCAATTCTGTCTGTAATCATACATACATTGGACTCCCACTTCACATTTGTCCAATTTTGTTAATCACTCGTATGATTACAGACCAAATTGGACTCCACTTGGTCCTATTACCATTATTAATGTGTCATACTTTTCAATCAAACAACCACACTGGAGTGGCAAACAAATCAATCCAGACAAAATTTAAAATCAAAGTACATGCACAATAAAGGAAAAATCTGAATCTGACTTCACGGTTTACAAATGCAAGCCAAAATTAAAATCAATCTTTGTTAAAAGGGTGAGACCTGAAATCAACTCTCATTACATTTCCTTGTTTACCTGTTATAACTTTCTTCTTATATATGTGAAGATATATGTAGACTTCTTCAGTTTAGTTCATCACTGTCACTAATCGTTAGGTCCCTCCAAACCTTTGCATGACTTCTTTTAGTGATTTTTTTTCAGACAAGTATTTCAGACACTGAAACAGACACTGCTCCATAATCAAATCATAATTTGGCCAGCTATTCATAGTCACTGATAAAAGCATCTTCACAGATTGAATTAGATGGTGGTCTGAATTATTCCAAAGCTCTGTTGATGCTTCTTGCATTGCACTTTTGCTATAATCTTTATTAATGATACAAATCAGATAGTGCAGAAAAGACAGTGCTTCATGGGGCTAGATATGTCCTTGCATATTAACTTGGGACTATTTATCACAGGGTAGCGTTTGAAATAATTTGTTTTAAGGTGGTTGTGCTACAAATGGTCTTAGAATTGACCATTGAGCTTCAAATTAAGATCATAAGACTTTTTTTCACTTTTTTGCTTCTATCGTCATTTCTCAAGTGCCTACTCAGGCTCCATTATCACTCTTAAGTGCTGCTTCACAGCTGCCACAAGATTTTTAGAATATATTGAAAAAGGCAGTGCACAGGATGAGATATCTGTAACTTGAATTAACAACAGCCTTTAGTTGTTACACTGGTAGGAAATGAGAAATATTGATTAGAGGTATTAGCACCTTGTTTATCTTATTCACAAAGACATCTTTAGGGAAAGAGATAATTATGGGTTACTCCAAAGCTCAATGCACTGATGTCTACTTGTAATAATATTCATTTTTCTTAAGGTCTACAACACAACACCAACCAGAAATTGACATTCTAGTTTCTTGAGGAACGTATACACTCGTAGGATTAAAACGTCTTTATCACAAATTTAAGAACTGGGAACTATACAGTAAGGTCTTCAGAACATTTTGATTGAAAAGGCAGTGCTTTAGAAGGCTAGATATTTCTACCTAAAACCATGATTCCCACAGTGGCAACAATCCAGAAACCTATTACTACTTTAAGGAAATCAATGAAGTATTAAGCTGTAAGCCTAACATAAAGGAAAAGCATGTGTACGAGTGTGGTTTGGTAGAAGATGCCAATGTAGTCAGTGTGGTGGAAACTGGTGACCCTGAGGAGTCACCACAGTCAAGCGGGCATGCCGATAAAAACAGCAATGCTGAGCTTGAAAAGGAATTTGATGCGACCTTGGAAGGAAATCGGAAACATTTGAAAATAACCAACAAAGGAAAAACACCCACAATAAAGAAAACGATGGACCAGCCAACAATATCGTAGAGTTTTTGGAAAAGAGTTAAAGCAGAGATCATATGTTTTTTCAAGAGCCTCTCTAGGAAAGAGGCAGAGGGGAATTGAAAAGTCAAAAACTTATGTTTGATGCAATAAAATGAATCTTTGCAAAGGTGGGCCTCGAAAATTATAGTTAAATCTAAATGTGGTACAACATCCACCAACTACCTTCAATTTCAGAGTTTAGAAGATCGCCGTAATGCTCATATTTTAGGTTTAGTGAAGAGGTATCTAAATAATAATGTACCACAGTTTTTAAAGAATTATTTTAAGTTGAATAAGGAAGTTATTTCAAGAGAAACAAGAAGAAGCAATTTTATATACTTACCTGCAGTAAGAACTGAGACCGCCAAGAAAAGTTTTTATTATAATGGCTCAGTTGTGTATAATAATTATTTAGTAAATAAGAATTAATTTTAATTGTTATACTGTACTATACTATTATTAACTTATAGTTACTTAGTTTCTTATTATTTATTTTGAACTTTTTATTAGTTTTAATCTAGGGCTCCTATTGAAAACAGATATACTTTTAAGTATTCTGAAGGGATTACCCTAGTTAAATAAAGGTTTGCTACTGCTACTGCTACTAAATGAAATTGCAAAAATTTTTAAATTGGATAGTTAAGAAAGAGAACAGTCACACTTCATTGTACATGTTCAGTTCTTATTTTGCAATTTAATTTGTATGCATTTATTAGTAATTCTAAAAAAAAATGTCATAATATTTTGACATATTTATGATGCAGTTCTAATTTAAAAGACACCACTACTTTGCTCAAAACATTAACTAGGTAAATCTAAAAAATACTGAAATGAAAATGAGGTAGACGTTGCACCAAATAATTACTTGACGTCCCTTTGTTTTAAATGAGCTACATTTGAACAGATTCACTGTTCAGTTCTCATTTTGCAATGAAGGCATTAATTGGTAAATCTAAAAAAAGTGTTACAATTTTTGGAGATATTTACAATTCAATACTAATTTGAAGGACAACACTATTTTGCTCAAAGCATTAAAAATATTGAACTGAAAATGAAGTAGATGCTGCACCAAATAATTATACTATATATTTTAGCTTTCAGCATACAAAAATTATTTTATGATGTTCCTTAGTCTAGTGCCATTGCATTAATATCATGACCTGGGAGGGGTACTAGGAAAACCCATCGTTGTTGTTATTGGTCACATCAATTTCAGTAGCATCATTGACATCTAGGCATATGTTGTAAAATACAACAGGTTATGATTGTAGAGCATACTTTCTCCTCTGATTCATCAAGCTTATCCAGGGAACACCTCCACCTCATGTTTAACAGCCCAAATGACTGCTCAATAACTACCCTTGCAATGCTCTGTGATTTACTAAAATCTCTTTGAGTGGCTTTACCTCTGTGTCACCTATCTGACACATTGGGGAATACAACATATCCCCATTTCCTATTGAAGTGGAAAATGAGCTCTTTCACAGCACATGAGCATCATGAATACTTCCAGTGTAGCCAGTACTAACATGTAAAAACTTTCCATTAGCATCAGCGACTCCCTGCAAAACAATGCTATGGAAACTTTTTCAATTCACATACTCATTTGAGTTGTTTCTTGAAGCCGTAACCCTTCAACTCCTAAGAGTGACTAGGATCCAAATTTCTCTTACAGTATCACTCCTGAATCACACATTACGGTTACAAGAATATAGAAAATGATCACCAAATAAAGGAGCTCCTGATTTTCAGGTAAATTCTCATTGTTAGCACCTTTGGAAATGTAGGGAGAAGAGTATAGAGAATAAGCATATTGATGTTAGGGTGTAAAGGGTTAATTGGTATATGCAATCCATCAAGAGCACCTACAACCTGAGGGAATCGGTTAATGTTCTGAAATTCCTGTATGGTTTTGCCCTTGATATTCATGGCTCTGCAGCAGCCAGTTCCAAATGTTAATCCCACAGTTCTCCACAAATTCCTAGTACATAACCTCCAAAGAGCAACAGCTACCTGCTTCTCCACTGCGATTGCTTCGCAATGAATTGCATTCTGACAAACCAACTTCAAATGTTTCCCTGCTAACCCTGAAGTGTTCCTGCCAGAAATGATCCTGATATCAGTCCACAATGAGCTGTTTAAACCAAAACTGTGCTCACGGATAAACCCACATGGCTTTGTGAAGGCGGCAATGGTTGTAGTGTTCATTTTAGGATCAACAGGATTGCCATATTCCGTCAAATTCTCTTTTGCATAGATATGGCAAAAATCAGCACAAGAGAGGTCATAAAGAACGTTTTGTCTCCCGCCATTTTTGAAAAGCACGCACATCTGCAATTTGAATCGTCTGAGTCAGCGGGTTAAATTCTGGGTCAAATTTCCCAGTGAAAACAGATATCACGTTTAAGGGCCTCTTCATATGAGCCCGGTTACCGAGATCTCGCCTCACTCCTATTTCCTTTGTAAAAATTTCGATGTGTTCATATGAGAAGGCGGGCCAGCCCGGTTACCAAGATCTCGGTTGTAGAAACCGAGATCTCGGTAACCGGGATGAAATATTTTCCCATATGAACACTCCAGCCCGGTTACCGGGATGAAAATTTTTCAACTACGCATGCCTTGTAAGGACGCTGACTAAACGGAACGCAGCTCACGCGACCTACAACGCCTGCAAACATGGCGGATGGCGAAGTGTCTTCCACCTTGACTTCGAAGAGATTCCGTTGGGAAACAGACACGGTAAGGCAGTTGATCGACTGTTTACTTGAATACAAATCAAAAATGGCCTATAGAAACCTTGATTTCGACGCCGATAAACAAATTCAGTACCAAGAACTGCGAGTGGACATGGCGAAGCTTCATGAGGACGATGAATCTATATTTGGTCCTGTGGCTGCTTTCAAGTTACCGGATGATTTCAAAACCCGTTCAAAGGAAGAGCAGGCCAAAGCAAAGCATCGTGTAAAAGAGTCAAAAGATATGATAACGAAAGGACAGAAGAGAGTGATGGAAAAGGTGAAGGAAATCAGACAGAGTTTCTCTAAAGCTGTAGTTTCTGGAAGTAGGAGTGGCAGTGGAAAACTTGTTTACGAATTTTACGACAAACTGATAACATTGTGGGGTGGTTCTGCCGGAACAGAGCCCCTTTCTTATGGTGTAGGAGGAGATGATTTTCTGGAAGACAATGAAGTTGTCCAATGTCACAATCCAGAAGATGACAGCTTAAGTTTGGATTTGGAAACTGCAGGTACTTCAGCTGGTTCAAGTGATCTAGGCCCTGGAGATGATGGGGGTAGTGCAAGTGGCGATGTGGCACCTGGTAACAAACGCAAAGCTAACTGTGTACCAAAGCTAATCGACAACAAAAGAAAGCATTTGGAAAAAAAGCTTTCTGCTGCCCAGAGGGATGGGTTGCTTATTAAAGAAGCTAAGGAAGATGCCCAATTTCGAAAGGACCTTGCTGAGGCAATGCGGGAGTCTACAGCAAGTTTTTCTCATAGTATTGAAAGTGTTAGTAAAGCTATGACTGATCTAGGTGCAGGAGTTTGTCGATCAATCAAGATGCTATCACAAGCATTGCAACAACCTTATGCAGTACGTGCACCTGTAAATCAGAATTTGTTCTATCAAAACCCAATGCAAGTTGCACCTCAGGCTGCTGAGGGTGTTTATGCCCAGCTGTTTAGCCAACATGGTAGCCAGCAAGATCCAGGAAGCAGTGGAAGCTTTTATTATCAACCATAGAGTTATGACATTATGACATTGTCTAATAGATCTATATTGTATATAGATATACAAACACAACTTGATGCTATGGAAATAACTGACAGAGTTTTCTATTCTATGGGCAAATAAGTTGACCTGCCAATTTCCATTTTTCTGCCAACATTTGCATTTTGTTGATATTTAATTCAATTTTAATACTCAGAGAAGGCCCTGCCTTGTTTTGATTTAATCTGTTATCAGTGGGGAATTTTTGATAATTATTTTTAAAAGTATTTTTTATTCATTGTTTTCCAAATGTAAACAGCCTTGTTTGGCATAATTTGGCCCACAGAAAATGTTTCAAACAGCATTCTAGTGTATCCAACAAAATTTCAGACTTCCTCAGTACGTGTTGTTGTTAAAGTTTTCATACTGAGTTTGACAAATTCAGGCCATAATCCACAGTTGGATTGCTCACTATAGTATTCATAGTTGCCTGATTGCACAAATCTGAGGATGTTTCAGAAAAGGATTTCTTATTACATCTCTACTTGGTTATTTTCCCAACTATATTTTTTCTACTGGTACTGAGTGCTGTTTAAGACAAACATTTTAAGTTAAAATTTTTCTTTGTAATTAACTGAAACCAATACACTAGTTCAAAAAATGGAAATTTATAGTTACAATTAAATTTGAAAAGTGCCACCTACAGTACCTACACTGTAATATGAATCGGTTTTGGCCGATCATATAGGGGCTGGTCAATGAACACTACCAACATTCAAGTGGCCTTAGTTTGTGTTCAAGAATATCAAGTTGTTGTTATATGCTAGGATCTTTCATGTCTTGACAATGTTCAGCTAGCAAATTAAGGGGGAGACCTTTAACTACAAAATGGTAGCTATGGATGACTTCTAACCATCATATCTTGGGCTCCCTTAGTATCCTTGCTTTAGTTTTTGGCCATATTTGTTCTGTTAGAGGTTGCCTTCAGTTTTGGTAGTCATGACCATATTTGGCAAGTCACGTGACCAGAACACAAAAACCATATAAACTCACACAGCTTACATCCTTCTCCAATGGAACAAAAGCCAACAGGTAGAGTGCATTCAAATGCAAAATTTGTAGAATGGATTTGTTAAAATTCGCATTACTGAAAAAGCTATGATGTCATGAAGTTTTTGTGATGTCATAGCTTCTTCAATAACATACATTTTAACAAATCCATTCTACAAATTTTGCACCTGAATGCACTCTACCCGTTGGCTTTTGTTTCATTGGGGAAAGATGTAAGCTGTGTGAGTTTATACGGTTTTTGTGTTATGGTTACGTGACTTACCAAATATGATCATGACTACCGAAAGTGAAGGCGACCTCCAATAGAACAAATATGGCCAAAAACTAAATCAAGGATACTAAGGGAGCTCAAGATATGACAGTTAGAAGTCATCCATAGCATGCATTTTGTATTTAAGGGTCTCCCCCCTTAAGTTAATTAAACTAAGTACAGCAATACATGTAAATAGGGTAAAGTTTAAGTACTACGTTAAAGATTCTTCAGTACTAATTGTGTGAGTGTTGTCCTCACAACACTCCCTTCTCCCACATCACAAGAGTAAATTGGATCAGGAGTGTTTTTAAACTGATCTTCATTTTCCTTCATAAGTTGAATTTATGAGTCAACCAAGTCCTGATCAACATACATGTTATGCTTCTCACAATAATTATGTAATACAAAACATGCATAAATAATTGTTGGTATTGCCTCAAGTTTGAAGTCCACTTTTGTAGTGAGTATGGACCATCTTGCTTTAAGCCGGCCAAAAGCACATTCAATTTGGTTCCTGGCAGAACGCAGCATGTTGTTGAAAACAACTTGTTCATTACTGGTACATGAATCATACTCTTTCATGCAGAAAGGAAGCAATGGATAAGCTGGATCACCAATGAGGTAATTAGGTATTTTGACACCACCTGGAATTGGAGTCTGAAATGTACAGGGCAATTTATTACTTCTTAATTTGGCACTGATGAAAGAATTGGCAAAAACCTTTGCATCGTGGACACTTCCAGGCCACTTACATTCAACATCCATGAAGGAGCCTTTATAGTCACACACAGCCTGCACACTTAATGAAAAAACTGCTTATAGCAGAAAAAAAATCTTGTGAGTTCTCTCATGGGCACTGAATTGGAATGTGTGTCCCATCAATGCAACCAAAAGCTTGTGTCATGCCAAATTTGGCTTCAAATTCTGCTACCTTCTCCCTCATGCTTTCTTCATCTTCAGGAAGATGGAGATATTTCGAACCAAGATAGTTTGAAATAGCTTGACAAACCTCATTTACAACAGCTGATGCAGTGTTGAGTGCTATTCCAAAACTATTGGCTGTCATTCTCAGGGAACCAGTGTCTTTTAAAAAATACAATGCAACTGCAACCTTTTTTACTGCACTCAATGCCCTGTGGTTAGGTGACTTTGGGTTTGGTGAAATGTATGGCCTTAGCTCCGATACCAGGTTCACAAAAGCAGCCCTTGACATCCGAAAGTTCTCTTTCCAACATTCTTCAGGTGCTACTCCCGTCCAGATGTTTTTCCACCACAAGTCAGTTCGACCGGGTTTATGCCAACAACTTCGTTTTTTCTGTACAAATCTCTCTGCTTCAGCTGCTTTACATTTCGGAAGAAATAACTTTTCTTCCGCAACAAGCCGATCCGGATTGCATCAATCTGCCTGGTTTGATGTATTTTCCATAGCAAAAGGACCCCGTGAAGTTGTAGCACTAGAGCTACGAGCGTTGATAACGCTACGATGGGAGCGAACGATATAACTGTTGAACGTGGCGCCATCTTTGTTTACTTTCTTGAATTTCGCGCTCAAACTCGTTCCCAGGGCCTCAGTCCACGTTTCGCGCCCTTTTCGACTCTTTTTCATCCCGGTAACCGGGCTGAAATTTCCCATATGAACAGACGACAAAATTCGTCCCGGTTACCGGGCTCATATGAAGAGGCCCTAAATAGCAAATGTTGGTCTGTAAACAAACACCTAAAAACAACGTTCAGCTAGTTCATCGGCCGAGTGAAAACGCAACTAATTATCTCAAGGAATTTGATTTAATTAAAGAGTTAACACCTCGATGTATAACGGCCGTTTTTGGATCGGCCTATCGTTTCATGCCTACTCCTTGCGCAGACCATTATTTGAGCAATTTTTGCTACTCAC